GGGGGGGGGGGGGGGGGGGGGGGGGGGGGGGGGGGGGGGGGGGGGGGGGGGGGGGGGGGGGGGGGGGGGGGGGGGGGGGGGGCAATTCCTGGAGGGCAGCCGGACCCCAGCCTGCTGCAGGGAAGGGGCTGGAGCACCAACCCCACTCCTTTACGCCATTGGACCTGCAGCACCCAAGAAGCGGCACTGTCCCCCTCTGCCTGCAATGTGCCATGTTTTGGGCCCTCGCATCCCCCCACCCTGCAGCTTCACCTGGAGCCAGCGATGCTCTCCGTGGATTTCTGGGAGCCCATGGAGGTGGTGGAGGGGCTGGTTGGAGGCCCTGCAAGGGGTGGGGGAAGAGCTGAGCATGACGGGGGCCATGATGCACCCAAAGGTGTGTCCCACTCCCCAGCACCTGTGAGGGCGGTTCAGCCCACATGCTCTGGGCAGCGAGGGCACATCAGATGCTCCAGCTCTCAGCTGCCAGCAACAGGGTGCTGGGGGCACGCCCTGTCCCCCACCATCCAGCCCTTGGCCCCCTCCACCCTGGACGCACCGTTGGAGCAGTTCTGCTTTTCCCAGCCATAGGTTGGGGAGGAGACACTGGCTGGAGACCCCGGGGTCTCGTCTCGCTCTGCAAAAGAGCAAAGCCCTGATGGATCCTGGGCTCCCAGGACCCTCATGGCTCAGAGCTGGTGCCAGGGGCTGCTATGCTGCCCCCCATATCTCCCCCACAGTGTGGGGCAGATGCCTCTTCCTGGGCATCCACAGTGCTCCAGCTGGGACGAGCCCCACGCAGCTGTGAGCTGTGGGTCCTTGAGGACTATAAGCCGATGTAAGGTGCAGATTGGTACCTGCAGCAACGGGGGCCTCATCCTGCTCCTCTGCATCCTGCTGCTGGCCCAGACCCACCGAGAAGCTCCTGTGGTTCCAGCTCCCTGCTGTGGCAGCTCGTGGCCGGCTGGCCGAGCCGGCTGCAAGGAACAGTGCTACCTCAGCCCTGTGTCCCCTCACTGCCCCCTCCCCAGCATGCCAGGACCCCCCCGGCTGTACCTGTGCCCCACACCTCGGGGGCTGCAGGCAGGGCTGCCTGCGTGGCACCGTCCACAGGCACCAGGCGGGTGTAAAGAGAAGGCACGTTGCAGGCTTTGCTGGTTTGCACAGCTTTCAGGCGAAACCGGCGGGCAAAACCTGCCCAGAGCGAGGCGGTTAGAGGTGGGGGGGATGCTGGGTCTGTGCTGGGGTTGGGGAGGGACACCCCGACACCCACCCTGCTCCAGCTCGGCTTCCCGCTGCGCCGTGTTCTCATTGTCCCGGATGACAGAGCGTGCTGCTAAGCGGTGCAACGGCTTGTCCCCGGCCTTGCCTGCCCGCCATGGGGGGTCCTCCCTGCCCGGCCCCTCCCGAGGCTGCAGCAGCGACTCCAGCGAGGCTGTCACTTCCCAGGACACCGGCTTGCCGGCTCGCAGTGCATGGATCACCACCTGGCAGCGCAGGGGCAGGCTGGCATCGCCCAGGCTGGGCTCCCCCTGCTCGGGTGCCGGCGAGGCGCTGAAGAGGTAGGAGGGCTCCACCAGCATGTCCCAGTCCAGGTGGGTGGGTGAGAGGAGGTTATCTGGGCAACGGCAAGATGTGGGCTCAGCAAGACAGGGGCACCCAGTTCCATCCCTGCCGCCCTCGTCCCCCAGAGCCGGCACACACTTGATTCCACCGCACTGGGCTGCAAACGCCGTGTTCGGGGTCCCAGCTCATCCAGCTGCCCCTCCAAGGACTTGTTCCTCTTCTGTGACACCTTCTCCAGGGCCTGGCAGAGCCGGTGGGCATCCAGCTCCCCGTGCGGCGAGGAAAAGCTGCGGCCAGCCAGGGCGGCACGTGCCAGTACCTTCTTCCGCCGTGCCAGCTCCTCCGTGCTCAGGGCCACCGTCACCTGCGGCGGGGGGGAGGCTGACAGCGATGGCACCGGCACAGAGCCCAGACTGCACCAAGCTGTGATGGGGCACCTGCGGTCCTGGCCGGCTGTTGGCTGGAGCTGCTGGCTGACGCCCAGCCCCATCACGCTGCAGGCTGGCTCCCAGCAGCCTCCCGGGGCAGCGGGTGATGCTCGCCAGGCTCCGAATACACGTGGGAAGGACTGAGGGCACCGAGACAGGAGTTTGCAAACATCCCAGGGGGCTGACTCGAGCTGACACCGAGGCGGGAGGAGTTGGCGGGGATTTTTGGCATGGAGGGGGCTTAGCTCAGTTGTTCAGGCTATGGTGGGATGCAGTCCCCAGCACAGAGTGAAGTCTGCTCTGAGATGCTTCACCTAAAAGCTACAGCAGGGCAGCAGCACCCACATCGCCTCTCACCTCTCACCCCAGCAGCAGGGAGCCCAGAGTAAGATCATTTACACTGCAGGGAAATCACTTACGCTTGACATTTCAGCAGCAAAGGCCACCAGCTGTGCTGTTGTGCAGAGGGAGCAGGTTACCTAACCCGTGCCATCGGGAAGGAGCATGTCCTGGAGCTGGGTGACAAGTGGCCTCACCCGGCCTTGGGGCCACCGTCAGCAGGGACGGGGGGTGGGGGTGGGGTGAGCTGCCTCTCCCCATCCCAGTAACCTGGCTGGGTTTTAAACCCAGACATGAAGCAGCAGGGACGTGGCCCATTGCTAATCAATCATCGGGCAGCTTTGGCCAAGGGCTGAAGGAGCCAGGCAGGAGCTCAGCCAGCCCACCCCCTCCTCTCCAGCTTGGCAGGTTCGTTACCTGATGCCGGTCCAGCTATTTTTCGCTTGATTTCTGCAGCATCAGTGAGGATCTGAGCTGGATAGGGGATTTGTTAGCCACCCAGCTGACTACTGGCCCGGGGAGCTGAGGGACCAGCTACTTAGTCCCCAGCTGTCCTGCTCCAGTAGGACAAAACCACTGCAGGAGCCTCCTTTTGGCACCCACAGCTGATCCTTGCCTAAAATCCAGGCTACAGCACTCCGGTTCCGAGCCCAGTGGCCACATGTCTGGGCACAACAGGGCAGCAAGACCCTAGCTAGCCAGGAGCAACCCCTCCATGTGTGAGCCCTTGCACTCCACCGGCATCCTTACCTTGGTGCCAGCCAGGGTGGAGGGCAGTGGGGCAGATTTGGTGGAGGACTCACAGAGGGACAGGCTCTTCTGGCCCTGCTGGGAGGTGACATCGGCACCAGGGGCTGAGGAGCCACCCTCAGGGGCCACATCTCGGGAGCCAGTGGACTCGCTGCTGGTGGAGCTGCGGGAGAGCAGCCCCCGGCTGCGGTCAGTGCTGACGGAGCAGTGTGTCAGGACGTACTGCTCCTGGATGTAGGAGGGCTGGTAAATCCGCTTCCAGATGTCTCCCCCCGAAACAGGATCTGTACCTGCCCGGCAAGCACACACCCTGTCAGCCCAGAGCTCCCATGCCTGCCCCCCACCCCAACCCTGACCCCACTCACTGCGCTCTGACGCCTCTGTGCCCCCAGCGGAGAACTCCAGGGAGGCGTCCCCAGATCCCTGGGTACTCCGGGGTGGCTGATGGCTCTCCCTGGCACTGAGCACCTCCTCCTGGGAGGGGAAGGCTGAGCTCCGGGAGCGCCGGCAAGCCCCTTCCCGGCCCTGGCAGAGAGAGGGTACCACTGTCAGCCGCCCAGCACAGGGAGAAGCCAGCGGCACTGGGAACGTCCTCCCCATGCCAGGGCAGTGATGGTTGTACCGGTGGGCGCCTGTTGCGGAAGCAGGCGATGCTGTAGAGGACACAGTAGCTGACGAGGCGGTCACCGGGGTAGAGGGCCGGGAGCTCAGTGGGCGAGAGCAGAGCCTCCATGCTGTCGGGG